GGACGTATAAGCATTAATAACTTTAGCCATATCCCTTTTTAAGGCATTGTACCAGCTGACACGCACCCTATTAACACGGGGGTTTCACGTCGGAGTCAAGACAGACAACAGTTCATCTGAAGTGTTGTTTTCTTATTTACCATGTAGTTAAAAATATGTGTAATGTTAGTTACTGCAGTTAGTGTTACGGCCACAGCATTAAAACAACACATTGTGAGCCACAACATAGATTTCAAACGTTAGAGTTTACAACAACCACATGATGCTATGAGCATTCTTAAACTACCTTAAATGATAGCAATCTGGAGGACTGGCCAATAAGAACAGAAAAATGAAGTAAGCCTGGGTCAGCCACACCATCGGCGTAGGACCCAGGACCTGTTCAATCGTAACGACAGATAACTGACTGCTGCGACAGAAATCTCTAAACACGGAGGAACAACGGAGCTGATCCAGATTAGAGTCCGATATGACGTAATATCTGAAATGTTGACCCACGGCACTATCAGAAACGTTGCTATCAGAAACAATGCCTGACGTGTTTTGGACGTAATATGGTCTGTGTTTACATTAGCATGGCTAACACTCAGAGCTAATCTGTACTGGAGAGCATGTGTGTGAAGAAGCAGGAAATAAAAAGGAACTCACCTTGTGGTATAACCGGCAAGAGAGAAAGAGTTTGAGCTCCATACTGTTTCAGAGATAATCCTTGATGTGGTTTGGAACATGATGGAGTTTAATCACGGCAGCATTTAGCTGAGTATCTGCCGGTAGAATTAAGCCTTAGACAGGGCTGATATGAGGGATTCTACAATGCATGATCTGTTTGGTATTTTGAGCAAAACACATCATAGACATGTTTTGATATATTTGTATATATCTGAGACCCATAATATATGCCTAAAAATAGCATGATAGGAGACCTTTAAACGGCGATTAGCTGAGATCAGGTGCACCTTTGCAGGGAGGAGCGAGAGAGCAAAAAGGGGGGAGGGCGTTAGAAAGATATCGACGGATTCGAACTTGACCAACCGATAATTAACGCTTCTTATAGATCTTAACTCGCTGCTGATTGCTCCCGAAACAGGAAACTTGGCTCCAGTGGTCCAGCTTTAGTGATGGATTTTGAAATAATATAGTGTGTGTGTTTCTGTGTGTCTGTGTGTCAGAGTTTTTGTGTCAGTGTGTGTGCGTGTGTGTGCGTGTGTGTGTGCGCGTGTGTGTGTGTGTGTGTCAGTGTGTGGTCATTCCTGCTCTGATGAAAGCTCCTGGGCTTCGCGTATTTAGTGGGATTAACATAATTGTAGTTAATAACCAAGAAAAAGACCCATGAGTCTCGTCTGCATGGCTGCAGAGGGGGAAGCAGATTATCCCTGGAGTCAAGGGGTCTCCAACACACACACACACACACACACACACACACACACACACACACACACACACACACACACACACACACACACACACACACACACACACACACACACACACACACACACACACACACACACACACTGATATAATGACATCACACACATGAGTATATCAACACCCCCTATTAACCTGCACACACTTAGCAGGATTAAACGCTGTGTCCGTGCTAGATTACCAAATAATTGGCTAAATGCAGAACCTGTCATATTTAATTATTTCTATTAGCGGTGAAATTGATTGGACAGTTATTGGATCGGAGGTGTAGCGGAGGCCCCTCCCGTCTTTAATCGTGATACAAAGATCAACTTTTTCTCCGTCTTCTTGAATAAAACACTAATGAGCCCCCTGGACTAGGGAGAAAAACTTCTAGTTTTATTACTTTTTACATCAATATTTCAGAGTTAGAGGGAGTTCTTGCCAGGCAGGAAAAATGGATTTAAAAGCCTGGCATTATCTTTGAATCAATAATGGCCACTGCCACGGAAATGACCTTAAAAGGACATTAATATGCATGTTGGACGTTGCACCAAAGACACATTTAGTATGCAGCGTAGCACCGTGCTCCTACTTAAAGCTGCCATAAGGAATATCTTTAACAATGGATGAAGAAACTTCTTAATGGTCGTTGGAGAGAGACGTGACGAAGGATAGTTTTCACCTGCCTCACCAGTTCTCCTCAGAGCTACAGAGACATGATTTTTTAGCCAATGATGTTGGTTATCCAGCCAACAACTCGCTCCAGTCTCACCGCTCTCATTAGCAACGTTTCTAGAGGAGAAGGAATCTGTTTATAGTGAGAAAGCTTTAATAAAATCACTGCAAACGGCGGACGTCTCCCATTGTCTTTGTAGATCTAAACGTGTCTACGGTTCTTCTTACAAGGCTTTTTTTGGACTGTTTGGATATTGTTGAAGAACTTTCTCAGCGATATCCTGAGTGTGTGGCTGTACTGTACTGTGTCCTCGGTCAACAGGTGATACTGGATGTGTGACATTTTGAACCCAAATACCTGTACTTTCTACTTCTTACATGTTGAACCCAAATACCTGTACTTTCTACTTCTTACATGTTGAACACAAATACCTGTACTTTCTACTTCTTACATGTTGAACACAAAGACCTGTACTTTCTACTTCTTACATTTTGAACACAAATACCTGAACTTTCTACTTCTTACATGTTGAACACAAATACCTGTACTTTCTACTTCTTACATGTTGAACCCAAATACCTGTACTTTCTACTTCTTACATGTTGAACACAAAGACCTGTACTTTCTACTTCTTACATGTTGAACACAAATACCTGTACTTTCTACTTCTTACATGTTGAACACTAATACCTGTACTTTCTACTTCTTACATGTTGAACACAAATACCTGTACTTTCTACTTCTTACATGTTGAACTCAAATACCTGTACTTTCTACTTCTTACATGTTGAACTCAAATACCTGTACTTTCTACTTCTTACATTTCCCAAACAGGCTGGTTCCTTTAGTTTGAATGTGTGTTTGGTGGCGTGATCATTATTATTTAGAGTCATTGCGTGCCTATTGATTTGAACACGATCCGTGTATCCATCATTTCCTGGTCTTCTCTAAAGAAGAGGGACCAATGAAAACGTTGTCATGTTGCCGTTGTTCAGCATGGAAACATTCATTAGCTAACAATGACATTATTGTTCTATTAATATAAAGGGAGGTCAGGTACTCTTTAAAACAGCTGCTAGTTATGGGTACTTTTTACTGAAGTACATTTCAAAGCCCTCTTTACTTTTACTTGAGTAAAGAAGTTTAGTCAGTACTTCTACTTTCACCAGAGTATTTTTAAACACGAGTATCTGTACTTCTACTTGAGTAAAGGATGTGTGTACTTTTGCCCTCTCTGGTGTTGTTGCAGGTACTATGTGTGTGTGGCCATCCTGATCTACTTCCTGCCTCTGCTGGTGATGGGATGTGCTTATCTGGTGGTGGGACTCACTCTCTGGGCCAGTGAGATCCCCGGAAACTCTTCTGACCGCTACAAGGAGCAGCTGACCGCCAAACGCAAGGTAACCAGGAGTCTAACTACACTTTTAGCGGTGGTATGTTCAGCAGCGATTGAAGTCTTCACGGGTTCTTAAGAACTCATCGGAGACGTTGTGCTTGCTTGCTCGCTCCTTAATAACTCAAATGTCCCTGCCTTCACTCGTAGTGATCGGTTTTTTCTCCACTCTACCCTTTAAATCATTCTCATAGCACCTTCTAAATGAGACTATACATCGAGCAGATTGGTACTTCCACTGCACTTTCTACTACTTTGTGCATTGCTTTGTCACCCTTATCTTTGAGCTTTATAGACTTGTATAGCATTTGAAAAAGAAACTGCGTTACTCTCATGGTTAAATCTATGATGAGAAGCTGATCAGAATTTACATTTGAAGTTTGAAGCGTACGAAGGCGTTTCATTCACTTTAATCAAACATGTGGAGCCCATTTAAAGCCTAGCTTATGAGTATATAAGGACACAACATGGTCTGTTAATAGATGATAGATAGATGGAGATTACTCCAACGTTGCCATACAGTTTGCTAATGTATGTTGTGCACTACATCGGGGTCTTTTTCCTCCAGTAATGAAAAGATCCCCACAGCCCGCTCGGCCTTCATCTCTTCTTTGATGGTTTTCAGCCTACTTGTTGTTTCGTCAGCACACTGCAGTCTCTTCTTCTTCTTGTCATCACCTCTCTACCTGTTTATTACTTTTTCGAGCCCATGCCTGTCGGGTGTTTTCACAGCTTCAGTATTCTTTAAGATTACTCTGCCAACAAAGACACTCGCAGAGACTTGCTTTTCTGACCCCTCATCATGAAGTGAGAGTCGCACTCAGACTTATTCACTAAGGCTTCTCTGCACTGATGAGATCAGGTCCTGCTGCTCCGTCTCTGAAGAAGTAGTTTGGTAGATTTAACTCCACTATTTCATTATATTTCATTGCATTTTCTTCAGAATCAGAATACCTTTATTCGTCCCACAGAGGGGAAATGTACATGTGTTACAGCAGAAAAGAGCTAAAGACAGCTTAATGTTAACTAAGAAGCATGCATAAAAAAGACATTAGAGATAATGATGATTTGATGGATTGCAAAAGAGAGGTGCAGCAATGAGACCTCAAACCCGGAAAGACTTAGCACCCTCACAAATTCAATGTTTTTTAACCTGTTTTTGGTTACGAGCCTTAAATAAGATCTGTGGTTCACGCCCCTAACAAGTGTCTAAAGTGGACGACTAAACGCCATCACGCCCAACGTGACCATTGCCTTCATGGTCGGCCGACAAAAATCCGTCATCACTGAACCAGTCTACATTACACCAGGTTTTACAGACATTCATGTTCCCCAGAGGATGGATCCTGATGAGCTTACACCTCTCAGGAAGAATTATACTGTAATATTGGCAAGATTTCATTTACATTACATTGCATTTAGCAGACGCTTTTATCCAAAGTGACTTACAATTACCAATTACAGGGACATTCTCCCTGGAGTAACTGAGGGCTAAGTGCCTTACACAAGGGCACACTAGTGGTGGTGTTCCAGGCGGGATTTGAACTCGCAACCGATCTTCAGCCCACCTCACTATCCATTAGACCACCACTACCCCACCACCATTTACCACCATCATCAGGTCATAAACTTGATATTTTATGACCATTTTTTATTTTTGACTTAGAGCATGTGAAGGCTGGTGATGGTCTGCCTTTCTAGTTAAAAAAAAAAAGTCAGAACACCCAGAACATTTTCGGGAATTCCCAGATCTTTTTCAGAATTCCCAAAAAAAATTGACAGAAATCCCAGGAAAAAAATCAGAATTCCCAGAAAATAGTTAGAATTCCCCAAAACATTTTCAGAATTCCTTGATTTTGACTTCTCCAAATTCTAAGATTCACATTCACGATGCAAATCCCACCTCCAGCAGAGGCAGGAAGTAGATAATTGATTGTAAATGTCCCTGCTGTGGGATTAATAAAGGATATCTGATTCTGAGATCAGGATGGCCACGCACACTTATACCTTCAACAAAACACACATCCAATATCACATTCAGTGTTACAATTTGTGAGCTTTATATCTGAAGAACTTCCACACCTACAACATCATGGTGAGGCTGTTCTGTTAAAGCTGTATGCGCTTACTTTGACTTGCAAATATCTTAAAGTGGACCTATCATGCTATATTTGAATAATATAGTGTAGGACCATACCTATATAAGGCATATTTATACTTTTTTTTTTCAAAATACCAAACAGATCATGCATTTTAGCCATGCCTCATTTTGCTCAATTTGACAATTTCTAGCTCTGGGCAGATTCAGTGAGAACAGCACCATCTACTGGCCTGGCATATGTACTACAGCGTCTCCAGCGCTTTCGAATGGCAATGGCCGTGGCTGTCTCCTCCTGATTGGTGGAGTTGGCCCAATAGCCGTAGCGCCACCGTCCTGACGTCAGGACAGTGTTCAAATCTGGATCAGTTTTTATCAGATCCGTTGCAGCCCCTTTTTTAGAGATTTGGGTATGGAGGAAAATAGAGAGGGTTGTGTTTTCTGACACTTGGTGAGTTCCCTGGAACACCGGGGACACATATTCATGTATACAAGACGTACAAAAGTGCATTTAGCATGATAGGTCCCCTTTAAATAACACTTTTCAAACACGTACTGCAAACACACCACACATCTCTTAATGATGTGCAGGAAAGCAGTCCGCCTCCGATAATGAGGCATCTTCACACATCCTTAACGTCTGTCCATGTGCATCCTATTATATTCAGTCTCTCACTGTTATAGACAACACTCATGATGTGTTATGAGTTTTTTGACAGATAACCATTTAAAATCCACTGTTTTTTTCTGGATTGACAGATTTCTTTCCTCTTATTGTTATAGAAGTGTGTGTGTGAGTACCCAGAGGAGACAATCAACGTAGTGCATCAACATCAACACATTACCAAAACAAGCAGAAACCTGACATCACATGACGGTTTTGTGAACACAAATGTATTATATATTATTCATGGCGCAGGCATACCGCTGCACTTTTCATGACATTGAGGTGTCTGGGGGCTAATTTGTAATTCCCTCCAGCCGTTCAAGTCGGAAAAATACAAAATCCAGAGTGTGTCTGGGAAGCAAAACTGACAAAATGGAGACAAATTGGTGCTGTTGTGTTTCCCAACAGCAGAGGTGGGAAGTAGTGGAGTACAAATACTTCGTTACTGTACTTAAGTACATTTTTCTGGTATTACTACTTTACTCCACTACTTATTTTTCTGCCAACTTTTTACTTTTACTTCTTACATGTTGAACCCAAATACCTGTACTTTCTACTTCTTACATGTTGAACCCAAATACCTGTACTTTCTACTTCTTACATGTTGAACCCAAATACCTGTACTTTCTACTTCTTACATGTTGAACCCAAATACCTGTACTTTCTACTTCTTACATGTTGAACCCAAATACCTGTACTTTCTACTTCTCACATTTCCCAAACAGGCTGGTTCCTTTAGTTTGAATGTGTGTTTGGTGGCGTGATCATTATTATTTAGAGTCATTGCGTGCCTATTGATTTGAACACGATCCGTGTATCCATCATTTCCTGGTCTTCTCTAAAGAAGAGGGACCAATGAAAACGTTGTCATGTTGCCGTTGTTCAGCATGGAAACATTCATTAGCTAACAATGACATTATTGTTCTATTAATATAAAGGGAGGTCAGGTACTCTTTAAAACAGCTGCTAGTTATGGGTACTTTTTACTGAAGTACATTTCAAAGCCCTCTTTACTTTGACTTGAGTAAAGAAGTTTAGTCAGTACTTCTACTTTTACCAGAGTATTTTCAAACACTAGTATCTGTACTTCTACTTGAGTAAAGGATGTGTGTACTTTTGCCCTCTCTGCCCAACAGGTGGTGAAGATGATGATTACGGTGGTTTGTACGTTTGCCTTCTGCTGGCTGCCGTACCACGTCTACTTCCTGCTGCACCAGTTCTTTCCGGACATGTTTGAGGAAAGGTTTATCCAGCAGGTGTACCTGGGCATCATGTGGCTGGCCATGAGCTCCACCATGTACAACCCCATCATCTACTGCTGCCTCAACGACAGGTCAGTCATCACACACACACACACACACACACACACACACACACACACACACACACACACACACACACACACACACACACACACACACACACACACACACACACACACACACACACACACACACACACATATATATTATTACCCATTTACTGTAAATGCCCAAGAAAACAAGTTCAAATTATACCAACTTTACGATAGTGTTATATTTTCTCATTACAAAAGAAATATAGGAAAGGTTATTTATAGGCCCAATAGCAAAGTTGTAATAGAGGACCTAAGTAAAGTAGAAGATATTCAATGAATACGTGAATAACAACAGTATCTACAGTGTCTTCAAGTGGTACAAAAAAAAGGTGGTAAAATGCTGACTAATTTCTGTTTTTTATGACTCATTCCTGCCACTCAATTGGTCATGAACATTGCCAGAATGATACATGTGTAAGAAAACCATGACACAAATATAAAAAGGGTCATCCAATATTCTTTTTTCTCCTCTGACAAAATAAAGTAGTGGGAATTTGTCCACTTTGAAAGAAAAGCAAACATGATAACTCTTCAGGGGGAGAAAACATATTTTCTTGTTTTGAAGAAATCAAATCAGTCAATTACAGACACACACACACACACACACACACACACACACACACACACACACACACACACACACACACACACACACACACACACACACTGAGGTACACCGTCCTCCAGCGCTGTCTCAATGATAAGTATGTCCAGCTCAGCAGAGGACTCCTTCTGCTCCGTTTCTCTGGAAAGAAAGAAACTCTTCCAACTTTAAAAACCTCAAACTTTTAAAACTCATCTCACTAATTCCCACTGTGCACATCAACAGATTTCCATCAAACTGTGGCCGTTATTAGCAATCTGCCTGCTTTGGATTAAAAGACTGCCATTGGTAAAATAAAGGCAGATGGTGAACTCCGTTTGTTTTTCTGTCATCCATCAGCTCCCATTGTGTTGCGTTGCAGACACCTGTTAATTGTCTTTGTATTGTCAGAGAAATTGGATTTCACACTCGGGTGTTTTCGCCTCCTAAAATAGTCCTAAAATGGGAGCATGTGACCGCAGTTAGCCGAGGTCTAATCTTTATTCTGTGCAGGATAACGATCGGCTTTTGTCTCTTTCAGCTCAAGCGATTTAAATTAAAATGTGTGACCGATGATGGGCCCTCTTCTTTTATTTCCAAATGATCTCTTCTATCTCTCTCCTGCTCTCAGCAATAGACATGTTCCCCATTACTTCACTTCTCTGTGTGGGCGCTGTGTGTTTAGTTTCCAGCCTCTCAAGAGTTCTTTATCTGAATCGCAAAATTCTCATTTCCTGTCAACAATTCCTTCTGCTAAACATCAAGTGCTGGTAGAAATGAGTCCCTCAATAAAGGTCATAATTAAATATTACGTGTAATATTTAATGTTAATCAACATAACACCACTTTGCCTTTTTATGTACATTAAATCTCTATCAGCCACTCTCTGTTACTCCCAAGCTGTTGTAAATAATAAATACTCTTGTCAGATTGGGAAGGTTTCCAAGTTGGCTGCTTATCATAGTGTGAGGTTCAAAAAACTGTCAGCTGAATGTGTAAATATTGATTTGGTTTAGCATCACTGTTGTGGGGTTTTCGTTACTCTCTGAATTGTTTAAACTGCATTTCATCATCTAAGATTCAGCAGGATCTATGGGTAATGTACAATATGTGGGTATCAGAAGCATTACGGTTTCTGTTTGTAGTCACGTTGGTTTTGCCCAATTATATTTGAGTTTGTTTTGGTTGTTTGCACGTAAACATCCATGCAAACAACTTTATTCTCGTATCTGTAATTGGTAATAAGGCTTTAAAAAATTAGCAGGGCCTTAAAAAACTAGTATTTTCTCAGATATTCGCTGGCTTCCCCCAGACCCCAGAAGCATTAGCCCTCGCTAAGTATCGCTGTCGTGGGATTTGCTTTCTCTTGGATTCCTGTACTAACAATCGTACCAATTACTTTTCGTATCACTAGAAATACATTATACTATCTGGATTTAATCCCAGCCGTATCTCCATAAACAGATCTATCATCATATGCAGGATCTCTGTGGGACAATATTTAGGTAACAGAAGCATTGGGGTTTCTGTTTGTAGTCAGAGAAGTACCTATCATTTTTGAGTTTGCTTTGGTTGTTTGGACATAAACATCCCATGTGAAGAGCAAACAACTTCATTCTCGCAACTGTAATTGGTAATGAGACTGAAAAAACATTGTGGCATTGACTTTTTGTATCACTAGAAGCACATTTGATGAACTGGATTCAATCCCAGGTTAATCTTTATCAACATATTTAGCTTAAAGGGGACCTATCATGCAAAATGCACTTTTGTACGCCTTTTCTACATGAATATGTGTCCCCGGTGTTCCAGGGAACTCACCAAGTGTCAGAAAACACAACCCTCTCTATTTTCCTCCATACCCAAATCTCTAAAAAAGGGGCTGCAACGGATCTGATAAAAACTGATCAGATTTGAACACTGTCCTGACGTCAGGACGGTGGCGCTACGGCTATTGGGCCAACTCCACCAATCAGGAGGAGACAGCCACGGCCATTGCCGTTCGAAAGCGCTGGAGACGCTGTAGTACATATGCCAGGCCTGTAGATGGTGCTGTTCTCACAGAATCTGCCCTTGCAAAAACAGTGGTAAAATAGTGCACATTGAGCGAAATGAGGCATGGCTAAAATGCATGATCTGTTTGGTATTTTGAAAAAAAAAAAGTATAAATATGCCTTATATAGGTATGGTCCTACACTATATTATTATAATATAGCATGATAGGTCCACTTTAATTTACAGGCTCTATAGCAACGAGACAATATTTGAGTAACAAAGGTATCTGTTGGTAGTCAGAGAAGTATTAACCAATCATGTTTGAGTTTGCTTTGGTTGTTTGCACATAAACAGTCCATGTTGAGACAAACAAGGAAAGGAAATGCAATCTCAGGGTGCATCAGCTATCGTCTGATGATGACTTAGCTTAACATTAGCATACATTTAGCGTGTTTATTGGATACTTATAAAACTAATCTGGCTGTAGAAGCTATCGTCTGACAACAGTCTCACGGCATTTCGTGTTATAGTCACAAAATGAATCTATTGATTCGTGTTCACCAACATGATTTCCCCATGTTCTTCATGTCACACAGAACGATTTTAAAAGCAATGTAAAGAATAACAAATTAGAAGGAAAAAAAGATTTTAAAAAATACAGATTTCAGTATTCTGAGGCTCTGAGCCACATTTCTTTTCCTCACGGACGGCAAAACAAGTCAGACATTATACAATTTTAAATAAAAACAATAATCCTGGCTTGATATTGAGTAAGAAAATGTTTTTATGAACCACACAGCTTCCGGTCTTCCAAGACCCGACCGGACAAAAAGACGTGTCGCAGGCACGAAACATACTACCAATAGAAATACATTGCTTTTAAAGTCGTTCTGTGTGACACGGAAAAAATGGGGAAATCGTGATGGTGAACACGAATCAATAGATTAAAGACATTTCGTGACTATTACACAAAATGCCGTGAGACTGGGTTGCGTCTGATGATGATTTAGCTTAACATTAGCATAAAGTTAGCATGTTTATTGGATACTTGTAAAACAAATCTGGCTGTAGACGTCATCTTGTAACTCCAACTACATATCTTGCATCCATAGTTGGTAATAAGGCTGTAAAAAATTAGCAGCACCCAAAGAAACACATGTCTTTGACCAGCTAGCTTAAAATGTGCTTGATGCTACATTGTAAACTGCACACTATAGACATCAATGTAAATTGGTAATAAGGCTTTAAAAAGTTATCAGTGCACGGAAAACGAAGTCCTCTCCCAAATATATCCTGGCTTCACCTGGACCCTAGAAATATGTGCTGTTGTCCCCAGAGGCTAATTGTCTTCAGACCATTCCTAGATAGGGTTTATACCAAAAATAATGTTTAATAATAATACATTTAGTTGATATGTCATGAAATGATATGACCAAATGAGGAATTAATAGTGTTGGAGCTATTCATTGTTGCTATTTATGTAATAGCAATACATGTATTTATTTTTACTGTTGTTTGCATGATTTAATTTAATCATTACATTAAAGGTGGGGTAGATAATTTTGGAGAAACCAGCTCGAGATCACTAGAATTTGAAAATACACAGCCGGAGAAAATCTGCCACTTCCTTACAGAGCCCCTCCTCCAACACACACGAACGTGCACATGACCAATGAGGGCACGAGATAAGTTTGTGCACAGATGGAAGGCTGACAGGCAGGTAGGCCATCCAGTTATTTTAGCCGGGCCGGCTCAGATGATTGGTCGTGCTTTTTACAGTACTACGGCTTCCACAGATGACATTTGTTATGGATTTTTTGTCAAAGCACTTCAGATATTCATTGCTATCGGGATGTTAAGAGCATTCCATGGAATATAACAAAAAGTGTATCTCGAGCCGGTTTCTCAAACTTACCTACCCCACCTTTAATGTTCAGACTTGTAATTTGAGAATTATGTAATGCTTTTATTTTGGAGGGAACGGCATGTTTTTTACCGAGGCATGAGAGGTGGTATAAAGAAGAAATCTGTTGGAAAATACTGAATGTCCTCTTCCAACATGAGAGTACACATGATAACAAAGGTATCCCAACTGTAGCTGTGTACATGACAGGATGTATGATTACCTAGAAGAGCATCAGGACTGTTTGAGGCATATGATAGCTATGTGATGAACATGATGATTCAGCCTCTATGGAGATAGACATATGACAAGCATGCTCATTTCTGACGTGGAGCTAATCTGAAGTAAACATTGAATACTGCTTTCTATTCCTCCATCTTGTGACTGTGTAACTCCCTCTCTTGGATATCAGCATGTGAAGGACACTGTTCAGGAACTAGTTGATGCTCTGTATGTGATGACTACTTCCATTCTGGAGAGGATCATAAATACATGGATCCTGAGATTGAAGCTCAAGCCGAGGACGAGTGATATTTTTGAATAAACGAAACTAAATGAGACTAATCTGTCCTTTTCTTGCACAGGTTTCGCGCTGGTTTCAAACAGGCTTTCCGCTTCTGCCCCTGCGTCCCTCGAGGATCTTACGAAGGTCTGGAGATGAAGTCCACTCGCTATCTTCAGACCCAAACCAGTGTTTATAAAGCCAGCCGGATGGAGACCACCGTGTCCACCGTCCTGCAGGTGGGAAGAGAGGACAAAAGTACACACATCCTTTACTCAAGTAGAAGTACAGATACTCATGTTTAAAAATACTCTGATAAAAAAGTACTGACTAAACTTCTTTACTCAAGTAAAAGTAAAGAAGTATGGGTTTTGAAATGTACTTAAAGTGGACCTATCATGCTATATTTGAATAATATAGTGTAGGACCATACCTATATAAGGCATAGTTATACTTTTTTTTTCTTCAAAATACCAAACAGATCATGCATTTTAGCCATGCCTCATTTCGCTCAATTTGAAAAATGTTAGCTGTACTACAGCGTCTCCAGCGCTTTCGAACGGCAATGGCCGTGGCTGTCTCCTCCTGATTGGTGGAGTTGGCCCAATAGCCGTAGCGCCACCGTCCTGACGTCAGTGAAATGTTCAAATCTGGATCAGTTTTTATCAGATCCGTTGCAGCCCCTTTTTTAGAGATTTGGGTATGGAGGAAAATAGAGAGGGTTGTGTTTTCTGACACTTGGTGAGTTCCCTGGAACACCGGGGACACATATTCATGTAGAAAAGATGTACAAAAGTGCATTTTGCATGATAGGTCCCCTTTAAGTAAAAAGTACCCATAACTAGCAGCTGTTTTAAAGAGTACCTGACCTCCCTTTATATTAATAGAACAATAATGTCATTGTTAGCTAATGAATGTTTCCATGCTGAACAACGGCAACATGACAACGTTTTCATTGGTCCCTCTTCTTTAGAGAAGACCAGGAAATGATGGATACACGGATCGTGTTCAAATCAATAGGCACGCAATGACTCTAAATAATAATGATCACGCCACCAAACACACATTCAAACTGAAGTAACCAGCCTGTTTGGAAAATGTGAGAAGTAGAAAGTACAGGTATTTGGGTTCAACATGTAAGAAGTAGAAAGTACAGGTATTTGTGTTCAACATGTAAGAAGTCAAAGTAAAAAGTCGTCAGAAAAATAAGTAGTGGATACCAGAAAAATTTACTTAAAGGTCACCTATTATGCAAAATCCACTTGTTCATGTCTCTTCTACATCAACATGTGTCCCCTCTTCTTCATGTCTCTTCTACATCAACATGTGTCCCCTCTTCTTCATGTCTCTTCTTCATCAACATGTGTCCCCTCTTCTTCATGTCTCTTCTTCATCAACATGTGTCCCCTCTTCTTCATGTCTCTTCTACATCAACATGTGTCCCCTCTTCTTCATGTCTCTTCTACATCAACATGTGTCCCCTCTTCTTCATGTCTCTTCTACATCAACATGTGTCCCCTCTTCTTCATGTCTCTTCTACATCAACATGTGTCCCCTCTTCTTCATGTCTCTTCTTCATCAACATGTGTCCCCTCTGTGTAAAGAGACTCTGAAAGTTTCAGGAACAAAGATTCTCTCTCTTTTTGTCCTGATCCATTTTTATAAAAACCTGTCTGAAAATGAGCTGATCAGATTTTGGCCACTTTATGATGTCATAACGATTTTTTGGCTTGTGTAACCATTAGCCAATCACCAACCAAGGCAATCACCAACCCCCCCCCCCCCCCCCCCCCCCCCTTATCACCTGAATCTCCTCCTAGAGCACCATTGTGTTATTTTTAACCAGAGGCGTGGGGAGGGTCTCCTTATTTTCATCTAAAGTAACAGACAGAGAATCAGCACTTTGGAAACACGTCTGAAACAGAGGGGATTATGGGTAATGCTGCAATGATCTGTTTGGTGTTTCAGCCAATCAGAGACATGTCTGTATACCTGTGATATATTGATGACAAACAGTATAATAGGGGACCTTTAAGTACAGTAACAAAGTATTTGTACTCCACCAGGTGGCGGACGACATGGAGCAGCAAAAGGTGAAGATGATACCATGTCCACGGCCCATTGAACCAGCAGTCGGTGCCAGCTCCTCTCTGGATCTCACCTCCAACGGCTCGTCCTCTCGGAGCGTCTCGAAAACGGTCTCAGAGACGTCCAGTTTCTACTCCAGCAACAACCTGCAGGAATAACAACCTGAAACACGGCAGGAAGAGAGCGAGTTGATGTTCTCATAGCTGTGTTTTCTCATGTGTGTAGTCATGCAAAAGAACGGTGTGAATGTTCTGATGAATATATTTCCAGTGTGGAGCTCTGCAAGTGAGACGAAGTCCCTTTCCTTACCCACAATGCCCCTGTATAAAGTATTCATGTTGCTCGATGTTTGATGAGAAGTAATGACGAGCTCTTCTAGCCTCTCTGTTTGTCACCACAGCTCCTCTCCATGCAGAGTGAAGGATCACACACTCATTCACACATGCTGCGTGACTTCACATAGTCTATTTTCAAGTGGAGCTTCAACATGACACCAGTATGCTCCTTGTTCGTGTCGGAAAACTCTAACGAAGAAAAAACCTGGCTTTCACAGTTAGTCCCTCTCCGGAAGAAGCTAGGTAATAAAGACAGAAAAACAACAAAGTGTGTGTGAGAACGCCAACACACAAGTCTCCATTGTGAAAGATTAGTGTGTGTTTTGCTGAAGGAGTGCTCTAAGGACCCTCTTTCAACAGTTCTGATAAGTTTGAGCAATCATCCTAATCAACACTTTGGCTCGGCTTTCATCTCGCTAAACGTCGACTTTAACTGCCAGGAGCATCATCTCTGAAAAGAGTAGAGGTGTGCTCCAAATGCTGAAGAGTGAAAAGAAAACAGAACGAGGCTGAGGCAACAAAAACTACGTCTGAGACTGATCTGAGGAAAAGTTCAGGTTTCCTGCAGATCAATTCAGTTTCACCTTTCCCCCTCAGCTCCCCCCTAACTCTCACTCCCTTCATAGGTCACATGACACGGGGTTGTGGTCTGAACGCATGGCACCTCCTCTGAAACTGTGAGATGTTTCTGTAGCGCTCATTAGCTGCTCTTCACTTCCACCTGGCAGGAACAAGCCCTCTGTGTCTTAAAGGGGACATGTTCTGCTCATTTATCTGGGCTTCTACTAGGACATGTTGAAAGAACACATTCATCTTCTCATACTCTCTGTGGGAATATAGCTGATTTGAACCCAGTTGCCAGGTAAACAAATCAGCAAAACTACCAATACATTTAAGTGCAACTTACAAAACAACGTGTCTCGTATGTGTTTCATATCCGCCTTTTATTTGGCTTTCAAAAACAAACAATGCCTTGAGGTTTATGATAGGATTGGTTAGGTTTTATAAAAAGATAATGGTTTTTAAATTAAGCATTCAAACATAGTGTCATGTGACTCAGTGAAGTAGCTTTACATGGCATTACATTCTCGTTAAAAACAAACTTGGTTTTCTGATCATACTGACATCATTAACACTCGCGCTCCTATTGGCTAGCGCTCCAACACATTGTACGTGATAGGCTAAGGGGCGGGACATCTCTAAGCGGTTGACCAATCACAACTGAGCCGGCCAGCTAACCAATCAGAGCAGACTGGGCTCTGGTTTCAGACAGAGGGTGAAAAGAGGTGCTGCAGCACAGGCAGTATGAGAAAAATAAAGAGCTGTTTGAACATTAAAGCATGGAGACATGTCCCAGTAGAGACACTACATACTGATATACACCTGAACATCAGCAGGAGAGGACTCTTTAAAGTAGAGACACTACATACTGATATACACCTGAACATCAGCAGGAGAGGACTCTTTAAAGTAGAGACACTACATACTGATATACACCTGAACATCAGCAGGAGAGGACTCTTTAAAGTAGAGACACTACATACTGATATACACCTGAACATCAGCAGGAGAGGACTCTTTAAAGTAGAGACACTACATACTGATATACACCTGAACATCAGCAGGAGAGGACTCTTTAAAGTAGAGACACTACATACTGATATACACCTGAACATCAGCAGGAGAGGACTCTTTAAAGTAGAGATACTACATACTGATATACACCTGAACATCAGCAGGAGAGGACTCTTTAAAGTAGAGACACTACATACTGATATACACCTGAACATCAGCAGGAGAGGACTCTTTAAAGTAGAGACACTACATACTGATATACACCTGAACATCAGCAGGAGAGGACTCTTTAAAGTAGAGACACTACATACTGATATACATCTGAACATCAGCAGGAGAGGACTCTTTAAAGTAGAGACACTACATACTGATATACACCTGAACATCAGCAGGAGAGGACTCTTTAAAGTAGAGACACTACATACTGATATACACCTGAACATCAGCAGGAGATGACTCTTTAAAGTAGAGACACTACATACTGATATACACCTGAACATCAGCTGGAGAGGACTCTTTAAAGTAGAGACACTACATACTGATATACACCTGAACATCAGCAGGAGAGGACTCTTTAAAGTAGAGACACCACATACTGATATACACCTGAACATCAGCAGGAGAGGACTCTTTAAAGTAGAGACACTACATACTGATATACACCTGAACATCAGCAGGAAGGACTCTTTAAAGTAGAGACACTACATACTGATATACACCTGCACATGAGCAGGAGAGGACTCTTTAAAGTAGAGACACTACATACTGATATACACCTGAACATCAGCAGGAGAGGACTCTTTAAAGTAGAGACACCACATACTGATATACACCTGAACATCAGCAGGAGAGGACTCTTTAAAGTAGAGACACTACATACTGATATACACCTGAACATCAGCAGGAAGGACTCTTTAAAGTAGAGACACTACATACTGATATACACCTGCACATGAGCAGGAGAGGACTCTTTAAAGTAGAGACACTACATACTGATATACACCTGAACATCAGCAGGAGAGGACTCTTTAAAGTAGAGACACTACATACTGATATACACCTGAACATCAGCAGGAGAGGACCCTTTAAAGTAGAGACACTACATACTGATATACACCTGAACATCTGCAGGAGAGGACTCTTTAAAGTAGAGACACTACATACTGATATACACCTGAACATCAGCAGGAGAGGACTCTTTAATGTAGAGACACTACATACTGATATACGCCTGAACATCAGCAGGAGAGGACTCTTTAAAGTAGAGACACTACATACTGATATACGCCTGAACATCAGCAGGAGAGGACTCTTTAAAGTAGAGACACTACATACTGATATACACCTGAACATCAGCAGGAGAGGACTCTTTAAAGTAGAGACACTACATACTGATATACACCTGAACATCAGCAGGAGAGGACTCTTTAAAGTAGAGACACTACATACTGATATACACCTGAACATCAGCAGGAGAGAACTCTTTAAAGTAGAGACACTACAAACTGATATACACCTGAACATCAGCAGGAGAGGACTCTTTAAAGTAGAGACACTACATACTGATATACACCTGAACATCAGCAGAATATGTCCTCTTTAAGTTGTTTTTGCTGGGTTACATTCATTTCTACATTTACCTCCAGAACACACGATTCCTTTCATTGTCCCTTCCATCATTTGTGTGCTTTATATTTGTATGTATACGTTAGACTAACCTTCACCTCTCTCACATATACACATGATATGATCTGTGTTTCTCCACCATAACATTATCATATACTGTAAGGTGTGTGTTGCATCAGATTAAAGGGCTTCATGACAACCTGAATGTTCACAGATACCATAGTTAGCTCTGTAATGTGTGAGATAGCAGGGATGACACTCACTCTGCTGGGGTCCAGGAAAGGCTGGTTAGGTAACATGGGATACGGTAACCCCCTGCTGTGGTAAACACACACACATGTTTAACGACAGTAGATAATGTCAATCCTGGCGTGAGATTTTACAGGAAACTCATTAAGCTTCTCTCAGTCAAAGTGTCACAGTGTGTGATAATATCATGATATACAAACATCTATCTATGGTATCTATATCCATGCAGAGTTTGTTTAATGAAAGCCGGAATATTTTTACTATAAGCATTCTGCAGTAAATTTATACTAAATCCACAATATTTACACAATATGTGCTGTGTACAGAACAAGCAAAGGCTTTAATCGAGAACATCCTGCAAACAGTGGAGCTCTAATTCATCAGACAGCAGTAAACACAAGGCCAGAAAGAACAGATAATCCCTGTTTAATAAAAGTGAATGATAGTTAAAGACTAAAAAACACATTTTCATCAATAGTTTTGAGAATTTCGCTTGTTTTGAATTTGGAAATCCCTCCAGAAGTCCCACATTTATCGGATTAAGTGAGACTTAATGCTTGTTTTCAAGGTGGACATTGTTACCAAAAGGCAAGAAAGAACACATAATCCTTTTTTAATCAAAGTTAATGATGTTTAAAGATTAAAAAATACATTTTCATAAATAGTTTTGAGAATTTTGCTTATTTTACATTTGGAAATCACTCCAAAAGCCCCACAATTATCAGGTATATTTAGTAATCACTGCTCTTTCAAGGTTGAAATTGGCCGACAAGAAGCAAGAAAGAACACAGAATCAATTTTTAATAAGTGTAATGATGCTTACAGACTAAAATTCAAACTAGTTTAGCTTGTTTTGCATTTGGAAATCACTTCAAAATTCTCACTATTATCAGATACATTTAGTGGCTGGAGGAAATTAAATTCACAACACTCACACACACCAGCAGAGAGAGATCACCTGTTGTCACCCATCACTCATCACACACACATACACACACACACACACACACACACACACGCACACACACACACACACACACACACACACACACACACACACACACACACACACACACACACACACACACACACACACACACACACACACACACACACACCCCCTGACTCCCGGTCTATTCACGGCGCACAAAAGCTGTTGTTATAGATTCCAGTGTCAGCTGACGGGAAGCTGAGGAGCTGATTTGACTTCAGAGGAATCACAATGTCTTTATTCTGCTCGTTAGATTAACATAACTCTGTGTTGGATACGTGGATACATATCTGACATACCGCACATTGTGTGCAAAAACCAAAATAGAGGACGTGCAAACACAACAACAACAACTACAAATCGTCCTGTCAGCACCATGACATCCCAATTTATATCCAGAGGCTGGAAAATAAACGTGCAGAGATTTATGGGATGTATGTCTTCACCATGTCCTCAGTTCAGTCATAAAAACATCAACATCTTAGATCTCTGGCTTTGCACATTGACAGATAAATATATTTCTTGTTGAGTGATGGGACGGACTTCCATTCG